CTCTCTGCCTCATCCCACAGGCTTTTCGGGATTCCAGCACCTCTGATGCCCTCCTCTCCACCTGTGCCCAACCCTCCCTATAGGCCCTGGGGACTAGCAGAGACCGGGGAAGTCCCAGTGTCTCTCTTCCTGTGGGCCTTGTCACCACTCTGTGAGGAGGAGGCATGAAGGCTGGGGGCAGGGTCACTCTAGCTGGGGCCAAGCTGGGTTTCTCGGGCTGCCCAGCATCCTGTGCACACGCAGGTGAGGCAGCCTGGGGAGCCCCAGGGCATGGGCTGTCTGGTGGCTCTGAGTGTCCCAGGCTCATGGGTTCAGTCAAAGCACTTGGAGAAAGGGGCTGCAGCCACAGAGCCCCTGTCCCCACGACCCTGGCATGGGCCACCCAGAGCCTGTTTATTTCCCTTTAATGGTGCGAACGTTTGTAGGCTTCTCTCGCTTGGCCCAGCACGCTTGTTTGTTATGGGTCAGAGAGAGGACAACCGTGGGCAGGGCAGCCAAGTGGGGCGACCCCATGGCCCTGGGCAGTCCGTGGAGCTGTGAGCAGAGCTGACTTTCTGGCCAGATGGGCTGTGGCATCTCAGTGAGTCCCCTTGCCTGTGATGGACTTAGGCACAAACCCTCCTCAGTGACTTCAAGGTTTTGGGTGACCCTGATTTGGGGGGCATCTCCCAGGCTCTTATGGCTGCTGGGGACCTCAGCCCAAGACTGTGGCCTCGTTGGCTGTATGGCAGTTGTTGAATGGCTTTGGGATATTTGCCTGGGCCTCTAAAGACATGCATTTCTGTTTGTTTGGGACTCAGTTCTGTGGGAACAAAGAACCCTAAGAGTGCTGAGCCCTGAGGAGCTGTGCTTGCGGGGGCTGTGTGGCCTATGGGGGCTCCATTCATTTTAGGGTGCTTGCTGGGGGCCTGAGTTCCTGAGAGCAACTCCCTGCAGCTCTTGGTGACACGTGGCTGCTCCCCTTTATAAGCAGAGGAGGTAGAGTCTCGGGCACTGAGGTTGGGAGGGAGGCCAGCTGTAGGGGGGCTTCCAACCAACCCTGACAGGACCCCACTTGCCGATTAGGCAGCAGAACTTTGGTGGGGATGGTGCTGCCTCCCTGGGGGACTTAGGCAACAGGAGCTCTGGGCTTCTGGGTGTCCTGTGGGGCGGAAGGAGGAGCCACTACAGGCCCACAGCCCTGAAACTTCCTGTTCTGTCCTATAATTATTTTTATCTATTCTATGCTTATTATTTTATACTAAAGGCCTAGTGCATAAAATTCATGCAGGGGGGTGGGGAGGGTCCCCTCAGCTCAGCAAGCACCCTCTCCAATCCAGGACTCCTCGGGGGATGTCTGACTGCCGATTTAGGCCTGATCTCCGGGATTGGGCCTAAACCAGCAGTCGGACATTCCTCTCACAATCCTGGACTGCTGGCTCCTAACTGCTCACCTGCCTGCCTGCCTGATTGCCCCTCACTGCCCCCCCTCCACCAGCGCCTCAC